AGCCCACCCCTGTCTCCGGCCCTGGGCACGGTGGTCCCCGTCCCCCTGTCCCCGTGGTGGGGCCACCCACCCGCTCTGACTCAGAGCCAGAATATAGGCCGGGCTCTAAAAATAACCCAGCTTCAGCACAAAGCGACCGCGGCTCCTCCGGCCAGGGGGATTCCAGCGGGAGAGAACACCCCAAATAGCAGCACGGCCCCTTCTCCCCGCCCCAGCCCCACTGCTGGGGGAGCATCCCTGATGGAGCCCCCAAACCCAGCCAGGGAATGATGGGGGGACGGGAGATGCTGCGTCCCACCCGGCCGTGCCACCACTTCCCTTTCCTCCACTTCCCGGAATGCTGCTGGGTGCCGGCTGGGCCTATGGTGGGGAAAAGAACCCCCAACCCCTTGCCCCATCCCTGGGACCCCCAGTGTGGGGGGAGCCCCAGCACCAAAGGACCGCTGGGGACTAAGGACCCAGCACCCACATCCAGATCCATCGGGCATCCCACCCAAAACACGTGGTGGGGCTTGGCCCATCGTGGTGGGTTGGCTCTGGGTGCTGTGCACTGACCACCCCGGGTGGCCCAGGGACACCCCCACCCCTGTCACACCAGCCCCAGGGTGGCCCCTTGATGGTGGGGGGTGCTCAGGCCATGCCAGGGCTCTTGGTTAGGTGACCTGTTTGCCAGGCCCCGGTGGCCACCCTACTTCCCCCAGCACCAAGCAGGATGCTGTGTCCCATGGTGGGGGGCTGGGGGCACACAGAACTCCCCACACCTCCCTATCCCCAGCACCAGCCCCACAAAGGGGTGGTGGTCATACATCCCACCCTGGGGTACCCTCAGCCTGGGATACCCTCAACCTGAGGTTCTCCTCACCCTTGGGTGTCCCTTAGCCTGGGGTACCATGACCCTCAGGTACCCCCTTATTCCCAGCCGCTGTCCCCTCATCCCCAGGCAGTCTCACCTGGATGGGAGCTGTGCTGAACTGGATCTTGCGGTTGGGGACAGGCTCCTCTTCCTCGGACAGCCCTGGGATCTCCACACAAACCGACTCGGGCTCATAGAGCCCTTCAGCCTCTTCCTCCTCCTCCAGCCCGCTGCCCCCCGAGTCCTCCCCGAGCCCGCTGTAGGCACTTATGTCCACCAGGTCCGCCTCGGAGAAGTCCTCCTTCTTGGCCTCCTCGTAGGCATCGCCTTCCTCCACCTGCTCACCCTTGACGCCCTCCTCACCCGCAGCCACACTGGAGCCCCTGTCCAGCCGGGGGGGGGTGGGGGGGCCAGGTCCTCGGCCCCCGTGTCTGGCGGGGGCACGGGCACCGGTTCCGCCACTGCCAGCACCTCCTCCTCCTCGGCCTCACCACTCTCCTCCACCTCCACCGGCTTGATCTTGCAGACCTCCTGCACCCGAGGGGTGGATGGCTCCTTCTCCACTGGCCGGGCACTCTTCCCCGCTGTCTTCTCTTCCTCCGGTGGCCGGGCACGGGGCTGGGCAGCATGGCCATCACCCAGCCGGCCAGTCTCGGCGCTCGGCAAGAAGACCCGGGGTCTCTTGGTGCCGAGCGGCCCTCCTGCTCGCCCCTGCGCCTTGTGGAGGTTGTTCCGGAGGTCGGCCTTCTCGAAGACAGCGCTGAGCTGGCTGACAGTGGGTGAGACGGCTTCAGTGTCCAGCTTGTCCAAGGACTCAGTGCTGCCATTGAACCTCACCACCACGTCCAGCTTACGGTCCTGGAAACCAGCTCGTTCCTTCCGTAGCAAGAGCTTGGTGGTGGTGGCTTTCTCCTGTGGGCTCCTCTCAAAGATCTTACGGG